TAAAAAAGGCTTTCGACACAGTTGATCATCATATCTTATTAACGAAATTACAATATTATGGATTACGCGGTTCCTGTCACGAATGGTTTACTTCGTATTTAAACAATCGTACCCAAACTTGCCAAATTAATTGCTCAATGTCAAACCCAAAATTAGTTACATGTGGTGTTCCCCAGGGAACAATTCTTGGACCTTTATTGTTTTTACTGTATATTAATGACCTACCTAATTGCTTGCATTTTTCACAACCTAGAATGTATGCCGATGACACCAGCCTAACCTATGCCAGCGCAGATTTAAAACTCATAAATGACTGCGTTAACGACGATTTAAACAAGGTGTATATATGGCTATCGGCTAACAAACTGACCCTTAACTTGACTAAAACTGAGTTTATGTTAGTTGGGTCGAGGCAGAAGCTATCAAAGCTTTCTGAAACTCCTTCTTTTATGATAAACGACCATCCCGTGATGCAAGTGTCAACGGCAAAATCTCTTGGAGTGCATATTGACCAAAACTTAAGCTGGGAATGCCACATACAGAGTATTTGTAAAAAGATTGCTTCTGCTTTGGGTGCAATTAAAAGAATACGACATCTTATTCCTTTTAATGTATTAATTAATGTTTACGACAGTTTAATTCAACCGCATTTTGATTACTGTAATGTCGTATGGAGCAACTGCGGCATTGGTCTTTCCGATAAGCTGCAGAGGCTCCAAAATCGTGCAGCCCGTATTCTAATGTCCGCTAATTCTGATTGTAATGTGGACGATTTGTTCCTGGCACTGGGTTGGCGTAAGCTTAAACACCAAAGACAAGTATCGACAGCTATTATGATGTATAAAACCGTACATGGGATGACTCCCGACTGTCTAACATCTAAATTTGTATCTCGTGACGAAATAACTTCTTATAGAGCGTTTTCACTCACGTGGCCAGCATCTATGCTAATTTATTGGAACAAAAGAAAGCATTCACATGAGAAAAGAGTTTAACTCCCAGAGGATTTACTGGGTACACGAACATGGCCGTCGTTTCATTGTTTTGGAACACCAATATGGCCGCTGTGACGTCATGTGAAAACGCTCTATCGATTGAGGAATACTGAAAATAAATTAGTCCTTCCACTGCCCCGCACCAATTATTTAGAGAAAAGTTTCTTCTATAGCGGAGCTAAGCTGTGGAACAGCCTATCCCATGACTTAAGATCTGCAGATTCTTTATATGATTTTAAACGCAAACTGTGTCGCAACAGTTTTGAATGAGATCATACATTAATACAGTTTTACACCGCATCCTTGAAAAGCAGCTTTTGTAAATAGTTAGGTAGTTAAAATTTTATGAATATATTTTCAATCAGAGTTAGTTTAGTTAGGCATAATAGATCTTAGATTTTTTGTACATGCTGAAGGAATTTTAACCGTGTTTAAATAAAGTTATCTATCTATCTATCTATCTATCTAATTTAACATTACATCTCCAAAGTTTACCTGCGAACGTCCTTGTTTGCAATGTGACTCGTTGGACGACGGACACAAAACTCTGTCGAAGTGGGAGGTCCGAAAGAGTTTCCAAAACTACTCCGCCTTAACGTTAAGAATAGTCTTCCTTTGAGTTACTCATATCTCTCTGGCAAAACGACTGTTTGACCACTCCACGTGAATGGACCAATTTCCATATTTTAGAATTCAACCTCAAACAATTCGATTCTCTTGGGAATAAGCATTTCTAAAGAATTTATTAAGGTAATTCCCTTGAAAATGATGTACTATCCAGATTTTTTTATGCCCTCACCCCCTCCCCTGACCCCCGCCCTTTCAAGACTTCTACAACTTGGGCTTAAAAGGAAAAAATTGGCGGCAACGCCCCTGATTGTCTTAGAAAACCAAAACTGTATATCGGTTGCCGACACGAAGAACTAGGTTATAAAGGGAGGGGTGACTGAGAGGACTACAAAGTAAAAAAATTTCCAGACATCAAGACATTTTGAGGAGCTGACAGCTAAATAAGAAAGCTAACTAGCCGAGCTAACTAAACTGGAGAAACTCAGAGTGCGTTTCTTTATTAAAATCTAAGATCAAATAAAAAATCTGGATCATTAGAATTTTCCGTTAGGAAAAGAAACGATGTATCCAAATGTGAAAACAGGTTTTTCAACAGGTTTTTCCCTTCAAAAAGGGATAAACGGACGACGGGAAAACTCTACAATGCTCTCTGGGAAAGTCCTTTCCCTGGGGACACTCGCGGCATGCGAAAAGGCGCGGAATCCCTTTCGCCTGTTGAATACCCTTGAGACAACAATTGTACATAGAACTTGGCTCCAATGTAGAGGTTTAATCCAAGACGTAACCAGGATGTAACCGAAGAAATTCATACAAAGCACTTGTATTTAAGCCTAAGCTAATGATGCGGTACAGATTACATCATAACTCAACGAGTCAAAATAACCGAATACAAAAATCATTTCTGAACGACTATTGGTGGAAATGGAAGCTTGTACTGAAACATTAATTACTTTCAAAAGTTACACAAGTGGATAACGGTTCGTCACAGGTTGATTATAGCTCGGAGGCTACTACTATCATGACTCGACAAATAAGTTTACGCTCAATAAATATCAACAGGTTGTTTACGGTTTAGAGAAGCTAGGACTAAAGAATAACGAATTTCTACATTGGCTTTCCATATTTCTATCAGCGAAAACAAAATAACTTAATAACAATACATTCTCTTTTCACATTCCTCCACCCTAAGTTTCAGCTCTCCTCAGCTGAGTGGAGAGGAAAAAAAAATGAAGTTAAAACTTAAAGAAGTTGAAGAAGTTAAAAAGAAGTTAAAGATAAAGTTAAAATCTTAAAGAGAAACAACAAAAGCACAGCGAATAAAACTGGAACCTTGTATTTTGCGTTTAGTTTTGAATTTTTTTTAATATTTGTTTTTCTGGTTTTTGAAATTTTGTATTTGATTTTGTGCCTGAACCGCGGCATAAACCGAACTAGCCTGAATATAGGGGCCTCGGGGGTCCAATTAACAAAGCAATAAAATAAGCAAATAGAATAGAGTACGCTAACTGGAATTTGTAGCGTTTGTGCAAAGGACACTTCGGGAGGTCAATTCATGTGGCTTCTTTTTTTTGCAAACTTGCGTAGAGCCATCTGGCAAGCGTTCACGCGGTGTCACAACAGGGCTGAAGACGCCGTGAGAGAGCGCAGTTAACACCACATGTTGCTTTGAATGCGTATGACTAATTTAGTATAGAACCTTACCCTGTTGCTGGGGTTGTTTCAATTGCCTAACAAGGTCTCACAGGTTCTTACACTGTCCTAAGAAACCAAATCGCTGTGTATCGATTGCCGACACGAAGATCCAAGTTGTAAAGGAAAGGGGTGACTGAGTTGGCCAAACAGTAAAAAATTACCAGAGGTCAAGACCTCCTTGGGAGCTAAGCTCCACAGGTAAATAGCAAAGCTCACTAGCCGAGCCAAAAAAAATGGAGAAACTGAATTAAGTAGTCGTATTTATACGCAGTTAAACAAATGAATTCTGCGACAGGAAAAAGGGGTACAGTAAACGGCAAAATTACGACCAACTTGCAGATAAAAGGTGCCAACAATAGAAATAAGAAAACTTGATATTGAAACAAAACGCAGGCGAACAAGCCTATGAAATAGCAGTCCTACGCATAACTAAAAGCGAGTAAATGTAAACCTACAAAATTAGTGATTCAACCCAGTAATTGAATAAGCAATTTGACTACAAAATTAGAATTGAGACCTTTGTAGACAGTAAGAGTAAACTGATCAGCCAAAAGAATAAAAACTACAACTGTGTAACTATAATAAGAGCATTAAAAACTATATCATATTGTCAATAGGCACGTCTAAAATGACTCTGTAAAATATGGTATAATAATGAAAATAAGAATTGACTACTGATTCCTGATGTCCTTCTCAGGTGACTACTGGACAAGTTACTACCGCACAAGGTGTGCGCACGAATAGTCTTCTGAAACAATCTACGAAAAGTACACTTCATTTTGTTTTCGGAATAAGGAGTTCCTACGCGATGAACGTTCCACTTTGTATTTGTTATACAAAAAAACCGTGGGGAGTTCAACTTCAGATAGGAACCGCTTCACTGCATTCGCTTCGTACCTATACAACAAAAACAGCAAAAAGAAACGTTAGCAAGCTAGTAAAAGAAAAGGAGAGTGATTTAAGCCGGCGAGGTACAATATTCTAAATCTGTTAAAGCAACGGATGATATTTAAACTGGTAACTTCATTCTACAAAGAGCCTTATTGTAGATTATTGATACTTTCATGCCGTACATCCTCTATGAGGCCCCCCCCTATCCAATAAGCGCCTCCCCGCCAATTTCAGGGAAGAAAATTCTTTCCTTTTAAGCCCCCCTCCCCCTATTCTTAAATAATAGACGTATGGTAGATGAAATAATTAATCATGATTGTAACACCTCATGTGGACTGATCCCGTATGCTTTATTCACGTCCTGGAAGTTCAAATTTGTTTTTGATCTTCGGCTGCGCGACCTCCAATTTCATACGCTCCAGTTTTTCTACTTTGGCTTCGGTCTCAATTCGGAGTAGAGAATCGATAGTCATACTATGACCTCTGTTGCATCTCATAACCAACCACTCATCAAAAATACCAAAATCATTTTTCCACCCAAAGCACCATACCTGGAACCACTCCTGAGCGACCACCGTTCGTAAGTGACCGGCAAATATTGGCATTTTAGGTGGTCCCTTATGGCAGGTTCTACTGTAATTTTACAATGGAACGAACTCAAACAGAGCCACCGACACTTTGTAATGTACAGAAATGTTCTTGTGTTCGACTGCCTAAAATATCCTAAAGTCATGACCTGTGATTGGCAGCTTGATGTTAAGTGGCACCGGTTGAGTTCGTTGCCTTATAAAAATTTTGTTTAAGCACGTAATATGATTCCAGGTTTAAATACATTCCAAAATACCTTGCTATTTATTTGATGCCCTCAAACTCAAGCGTCACGTCGTCACCAATGAGAACAAACGGTGCCCAGTACCTCACTGCACTAAAGCGGTCAGATTCTCTCATGGATTTCATGGCCTCATTCAGAGCCTCACTGGCACTTCTTCCATTGACTAGTTGTCGGTAGAAAAATTCCATGAACTCCATCGTAGCCTCGTCGTCAATCGCCCACAGGGACACCAGAACAGAACGAGCACCAGCACCCAAAAAAGCACGTGCGATGCCGACCACACCCTCAGATTTGACCTCTCCTCGAGCACTATGACAGCAACTGAGTACAACAAGTCTTGCCCTAATCTGCGCCTTTAAAACATCCTTCATAGTTAAGAGATAGTCTTCTTTGACTGGAATCGGGGATGAACGTGTTGTGTTGGGGGCCAAGGCAATTTCTCCTGTTTCCATTTTACCGTGAGCAGCAATGTGCACCAAAGCAACCGAGGAGATACGTCTCAAAACTTCATCTTTTGTTGCATGCTTTCCAACGAGAGGTGCAGTTTGAAGTATTCCCCCAATCATCTGCACTTCCTTTTTGGCGTACTCTAACTGCATTAATTTCTCTCCTTCATAAATTACCTCTTGAACCCACGGATCGCCGACGAGAAGGGCGCCAGCCTTGCTGTACCAATCTGCCGGACAATTTTGGATTAATCGAAGACTATAAAGTGAGGGAAGTAGGCGAATTCTAAACGTTTCGCAAAGGTACTTGGATTTCTTCTCCATGAAAGCAGCATAAGGCGTTAAACACAGAGGGCCTTGTGGAACAATCACGACTTCATCGCCATGGAGTAAGTCTCTTATAGGATCTATAACAACATTGTACAATGTTTGTAATGACTCTGTCTCAAAATATGAAGGGTGAGAACTTGGCGTACTGGGGGATCTTTCTTCCGCTAACTTTTTATCGTTTGGGTTTCCTAATGAGCGATCTTCACAGTTAACATCAGCTCTCACACCTATTTCTTTCCGTGTAGTCTCCAATAGAGACTCAAAATAGGTTGTGTCTGAGATATCGATCGGAGTTCTTCTAGTTTTGATTTCGTTTCCTTTCTCGTTCACCCAGAGAACTATTCCTTCCTTGTTGATACCAATGAAAGCTGTATTTGGTGGCAGGTAACTAAGAATGTCAGGTGTTGTTGCAGAGGGTGTTCCTATTTCTGGACGTAGCCCTTTGAACCCATACTTGAACCCCAAAAGATCGTTTAAAGCTTGTGCGCGTCCATGATCAGCAGTTAAAAGTGCCTCAACGACTTTATCTTGCTTAAACTGCAGCCACCATAGCCTCGAATAACTAACCTCGTGCTTACTTCTCAGGCTAATCTTCCATTCGTCATTAGATATGAGATTTCCCCTGATATTTTCGAAGGCCAAAACACTGTCTTTATAATAGTGAACGGCTTTCTGAAAATCTCCAAGACTGTCATAGGCGTTGCCAAGATTACAGTACGCTTTTCCTTCTCCTGCCCTGTGTCCCACTTCTTTCGAAATTTTGAGGTGTCGTTCATGGTACTCTATGGCTGTCTGGAAATCTCCAAGACTGTAATAGGCGTTGCCAAGATTACAGTACGCTTTTCCTTCTCCTGCCCTGTCTCCCACTTCTTTCGAAATTTTGAGGTCTCGTTCATGGTACTCTATGGCTTTCTGGAAATCTCCAAGACTGTTATAGGCGTTGCCAAGATTACCGTACGCTTTTCCTTCTCCTGCCCTGTCTCCCACTTCTTTCGAAATTTTGAGGTCTCGTTCATGGTACTCTATGGCTTTCTGGAAATCTCCAAGACTGTCATAGGCGTTGCCAAGATTACCGTACGCTTTTCCTTCTCCTGCCCTGTCTCCCACTTCTTTCGAAATTTTGAGGTCTCGTTCATGGTACTCTATGGCTTTCTGGAAATCTCCAAGACTGTCATAGGCGTTGCCAAGATTACAGTACGCTTTTCCTTCTCCTGCCCTGTCTCCCACTTCTTTCGAAATTTTGAGGTGTCGTTCATGGTACTCTATGGCTTTCTGGAAATCTCCAATATTTCTAAAGGCGTTACCAAGATTACCGTACGCTTTTCCTTCTCCTGCCCTGTCTCCCACTTCTTTCGAAATTTTGAGGTCTCGTTCATGGTACTGTATTGCTTTCCGGAAATCTCCCAGACTGTAATAGGCGAGGCCCAATGCGTGCTGTAAATCTTTAAGGCTGACAAAGGGGTCGCCAGTATTACCATTAATAGCTGTGGTTGTCATATTTTTTTTTTTTGCTGGCTGTGCTATTTCAGGTCAGCCACATACTGTGGTTTCTTTTTTTTGCTGATACCATTTCTCTTTTTGTGCGATAACGAAGAGGGTCTGAAAAGTAAAATTAAAAGCTGGAGTAAAAGCTTATTTATTAGCTCCTTTACAATTCGTTATGGACTTTATGGACTGGGGTCGTCTTTAAAAAAGGAAAATATTAACATTCGTATGGTAATAATGATCGAAATTTAAAAAAAACAACAACAACAAAGAAACAGATCTACCATTGTTTAAACATGGTGTATATATAGAGGATATTATATGGCCGCGCGGAGATGGGAAAATTCTCTTCGAGTGTTGAAAAATATTTTACTCGTTCGCTGCGCTCACTCATGAATATATATTTTTTTTAACACGAGAAGAGAAATTTCGCATCTCTAAGCGACCATGTAATGTTCTATTTATTATATAAACACCAATAAAATACCTACAATTTTACTTAAATAGTTTTTTGGTCTCAAAGGTGCGGTTTATTATGAAGCTATAGCAACAATGACATTTTCACATGTGAAGATAACATGTTATTTTCACATGTGAAGATATCAAGTTTTCGCGCGAAAGCTCACTTGGCATTTCATTGGTGTTTATGTAATAAAAATTGTCTATCTACTCATTCTATGTTCATTTACCTTCCAACGACAAAATTAAATTTGTTGTCAACAAACTACAAACCGGGCCAGCGGAAACATTTCAGAAAATTCAAATTTGGGAAAGTGAACTTATTTCTTAGGGTTAACATCTCTGGGTAGCGGAATACAAGTGTTTAGCAATTGAAAAGAAAACCTATTTCTTTACCACCAAAACACCGAAAAAGTTACAGGTATTTTAAGCTTCTGGGTTTTCGAAAAACTGTAATAGTTTCACAGATGGTTCCAGCTCAAGTCCAACTCGTTGCAAAAACCTGAGGAGTTTTCCTTTTTTCCCTCCTATTTTCTTAAGTAGATCTATAAGTAGGATGAGCATGATCGTCCGAGGGCTAACGTAGTACAAAATAGGACTGTTGCATTGACGTTGACTGACGCGCGGTAATCATCTGAAGAGTCAAAGTGAGTTGTATTACGTCAGTTGATGGTACAGTCGAACCTCCATGTGGGACCACCTCTCGTAAGCGACCACCTCCCATAAGAGACCGCCTATCCAAAACTCATGCACCAAAACTTTCCCAGTCAAAGCCTTACAGTTGGAACCTCTAGTAAATGACCACCTCTTGTAAGCGACCGTGACCACTTTTTGGGCCTGAGAGTTTAACGATTTTCCATTGTTTTTAAGCTCTAGTAAGCGACCAAACTCGACCACTTGACGCATTCTCTGATTCCTAGTTCGCTGTGTGCACTATGCTACTTAGAATATACGACATGTACGAAGAACTTTAGAAACAACATTGAACTACATATGGCGTAACTTATCTTCCACAAAGTAGATGTACCCAGACCTCTTCTCGGAAGAGGCCCCCTGTGGTTCGATTCTTGTAAGTGACCACCTCCCGTAAGCGACCACTCAGTCTTTGCATTTTGGGTGCTCGCTTACGGGAGGTTCGACTGTATTGAACTCTGATTATTGATCTGATTGGACAATTTCGTGATGTTATTGGTCGTCTGTCAGTTAAGTAGTGATTTTATTATTGGCTATGAAGACACGTAATGTCATTGGACAGTTGACTTTCCATCCGTCTATATTGTCACAGTTAAACAGTCGTTTATGTTAGTCCAATTGTGGGTTGTCCAGTCATTCTTTCATAATTAGTTTTGCTTGAGTCTGTCAATAAAGTCGTTTGTACGGTGCCGGCAACTGTTGACTACGATTCAATGACGTTTGTTCTCAGTTAGTAAACCAGATTTCTAAAGTGGGTCGTTGATAATAGTCTGAGAATACGTAATACAAGTCGCAGTGTCGCAGTCGATTTGATGTTTCGTCTGTAAATGGTGATCAGCAATGTGATTGTTGACGTCACCATTTCTCGTCGCTCGTATTCGTTCGGTCAGTCGCATGCTAAGGTTTCTGCCGGTTTCACCAATGTAACTAGCCTGGCAGTTGCAGCATGATCTTTAATACTGCTCCCTGTCTGTCCTCCGGTTTGTCTTTGTCCTTGACATTAGTGTGCAACACGTATGTTGTAAGGTTGTAGTATACGTGCGATAGTTTCACTTTCAGAGGTGCCTCTGATGTACGGTATAGTCGACGACTATATCGTACATCAGAGGCACCACTGAAACTATCGCATGTATACTACAAAAAACAGCGATAAAAAGTTTGAATAAAGCGATTTTAAAAATCATCCACGTTTGTTTGTCCGGAAATGGGTAGCCTGCGAAGAGCAGACGTATTTCCGGTCGACGGAACTAATTTCTTTTAAGTGATAAATTTACGTCATTGCCCCCGCAGGGATTTCGCCCAGAAAGCGAAATCCCGGGGAGGTACTCTAGTAATTCGCGCGTATATTAAGGAAAGTACATACAGTTGAAATATACAGTCATACAGTCAATAGAGAAAAAAATCTCGATTTGCTTGAACATGGGCTGCGAGGAATCGGTAGGTAATGATGACGTTTCTATTGCTTGCGCCCGCAAGTACGAAATGGTTAGGATGACGTAAAGACAGAAAATCCCGAAGGGACCGCTCAGGTAGATTTTGTGACATTTATTGTGCAGTCATACTTCGATACTCTTTTACGTTACGCAGTGACATTCTGAAGAGCAGTTGTTTTGAAAGTTATGGACCAAAAGACACTCGTTAAGCGCAGATGAGCTTAGAAGTTGCGTTTAACTGTGTATATATAAACACTTGGAGAGTTTGCCAGACATGAGTTCAAAAATCTTTGATTTGTATTGGAAACCTTGCCAGACACTCTTTCTCTCCGTTTGACCGGAATGAGACTCAGCCCCAAACAAGCAAGACGAGTGAACAACGGCTAGCTTATCACTAGCAGAACGATGGACGATTACAGAAATTCTCCCACAATCAAATTCTATGCTGACTTATTCCCTGCTCACAGATGTCCTTCCGTTATAAAGTTTCAAATAAGACTAGAATGCGCGAGCGTGAATCGATCAAACGTCCTTTTAATTTCTAAGGCTTACTTTCCGGCAAATAAAATGAACTGAATGTAAAAAGTGAAAGAGAAACAGCGAAAATTCAACTTCTAATTAAATCTTTTGTTATGGTTTAGAATACACTATTCTCTTTCGATATGCTCCGCATTATGGGATAATTATGCATACTTCCTACCTACCTACTGGTCAGCGGTCACGTTTCAAAGAAGCTATTCAAATGCAAATCAGCAGTGATATAAACCCCAGGAGGCGGCGTGATAACCAGTTCTTCCTTTCGTGCTTTACAAGGTCAGCGAGTTCGCTTATATTTTTCTATTTTACGTTCCTTGTTTTCGCTTTTTCAAGGGGTGTTCCTTGTTCGTCTACTCACATTTGTTCTTTTGGTCGCTTTACTCCTTCTTTTAGCTTCCGTCGCTTATTTGGCGCTCGACAGTTGACAGCAAGAGTTTCGCTTGCCCACGTGGTGATGTCTTCGCCAGCCGGCGCTAACACTGCACCTTTGGAACCCAATGTGGTGATTGCGAATGAAGTTCACGACGCGGTTGGGGTCGACGATACAGACCACGTGGAATTTGATTTGGATGAGTTGAAGGAACAGCTCGGAATAGATAGTATTCTTGAAAAGCTCAACGACCTTGCTGCAAAGTTCTGTAGCGAGAAATCTAGGACTGAGTACTCTGGTTCAGAGGCTCATAATTCAAAGTCCTCTTCAGAAACCGCCGAAGGGGTTTTTGACCCCTCGGCCGCAGTAGTTTCACACGAAGTCGCCTCGACTAATGAGCCTCACGAGGAGGAATTTAAGTTCCCTTCGGTCTTCGAGGAAACCGAAAGTTTTGGGCCTGAAGTGGCTGAGGTCATTGCTCAACGTGTTAATGACGCTTGCTCAAAAAAAGCCATGGATTCCAAGTTAAAGGATCTGTACGAAAAGTATAAGACTCCTGCTAATTGTAAATACTTGTGTGTGCCTAAAGTCAATTTAGAGTTGTGGCACGATTTGTCTAAGGAGTCTAAATCCAAAGACCTCGGTCTTCAGGAGCTCCAGAAAGGTATTGTCAAGGCATCACAGCCTATTATACAGTTGTTTGATTCAACACTTACAGCTCGTAAAGACAAGTCTTCAATGGATCCCAATGTTTTGCTACCTTTATTGGCAGACGCTGTTACCTTTCTGGGGCATGCCTCATTTCTTACATCTCTTAAACGAAGAGAGTTTCTTAAACCAGATATCGCTAAGCCTTATCAGTCTGTTTGTAACAAGTCTAATACCATTACAACTTGTTTGTTTGGGGATGAATTGCCCAAGCATATTAAGGAGATCGGAGAGGTCAATAAGATATCTAGGAGGGTGTCTGGCCGTCCGACTTCAATCAAGAACATGGTCAGTTCTTACAAGAGAGGGTCTGATGCACCTAGTAGGAGCTACCCACAGAGGTCTGGTAGAAAGTCCACTTTTTTAGGCGACCGAGGTCGTGGAAGTTACTTTCACGACCGGCATCAAGTGGGAGGACGATCAATAACCAGCACCAAACCACAGAAGGACAAAGTGTAAACAAGGTACATGTACGCTCTGTACCTTTGTTACAGACGGTAGTTTATCTGGGAGTTTACTAGTGATCCATGGATCTTACAAACTGTCTCAGGTTATCACCTTGAGTTTGAAACAACCCCTCA